TAAAAGCAACATCTACGTGTTCCGACAATCCGCAGAGTTGGAGTGTACTTTTGTAAGATCGTAACAAACAGTAAAATCAAGCGCATTTAAGCTCACAGCAACCGCCCGGGAGCAACCGCCGGTTCAATAATTTGAAATGAGCAAAGGACAAAGGACGGTTTGCTTATCACGTGCATTTGTCACATCACCGCGGCGCGAAGTCGTGATTTCAGTCGCGCGTGACATCTCAAAAAAATAATATGCCATGCATGTGCGGAATAGTCTATGAGAGAAAGATAACCATATGTCGGAGTTTATTCAGATCTGAGCGTTGTTTGTTAGTGCAATATATACGAGGTGAGATCTTAGCTTGGATAGTTTGTTTTAATTATTATGAAATTTCAAGGACTTATTTTAGACAAATCTCAATTGACCGCGTGCATCCGGTTCTCGGCCCGCGGCTTCGGCTGTTTGCGCAAAATTTCTACATGAAAATTAAAATGTGATTTTAAGAATTTTCTTTTAAAAAAACTTATGGAATGTCCCGTAGCTGCATTAATTGAATCACGGCTAAAATCTAGGCGGAGATTTTCGCAGAGAGCTTGCAGGTAATGAACATTGAGGAACGCGGATTGATCCTTTATCGGCACACTGTCACAGTTACGTGTTGTCAGTCAAAGCTAAAATCTATTCCTAATTTTCTTCTCTTTTTTCAATTTCTTTTTGATTTGCTGGGAGATTTAATTTTTGGCTCCGCCTCGAGCTTTATTGAGAGAAGAATCCGGTCCACAATATGACAGCTTGTTTTGAGTCATTTATGAGTTCGTGACACGATGAATCCTTAAAAATTAACTTTGTGCAATTGTTACTTTTATAGTCTGAGTATAAGTATCCCAAAATACATTACAATATTGCACCTCAATAATAATAAGTAATAAGTACCCTATTTTAAAGTATTTAAAATAAGGTCAGCATTTGATGTCTTTCAGCAGACTTTAAATATTTTATGTACAATCTGTTTTTATAGTCAGAGTGTTGTGTGCCCAAAATACAATTCAAATAGACCTCAAAACAGTGTTTAAGTACCCTATTTAAAAGTATTTGAAATGCGGTCAGTAGTTAAGGACTTAAAACATATTTCAAATAGTCTATTTGAACTCTGTTTGTAACTTTGTGAGTGGATGCGTCTCAAAATACATTTTCGATACAACTCAAAACAGTGTTAAAGTACCCTATTTAAAAGTATTTAAGATACGGTCAGCATTTAGGCTCTCAAAACATATTTTAAATAGTCTATTTGAATTATGTTTGTAACTTTGTGAGTGGATGCGCCTCAAAATACATTGTAGATGCAACTCAAAACAGTGTTAAAGCACCCTATTTAAAAGTATTTAAAAAACAGTCGCATTTAAGCCCTTAAAACATATTTCAAATAGTCTATTTGAACTCTGTTTGTAACAGTGTTAGTGGTTCTATGCCCAAAATACATTTGAAATACCCTGTTTTAATCATATTTATTAAACAAAATACATTGTAAATTGATGAGAGAGGTTTTCCTTTTGATGAAATATAATTTAACTACACTTAAGATATATTCCAAACAGGGGCGAAAATTTAAATTTTTTTGTCAAATAGGATTAAAATACAGGAAAATAGTATTCAAATACTGAAAATACATTTTAAACACTTTAAAATCAGTTTCAAAATACATATGGTTTGGTAAGGGTAATTAATCGTGCTAAGCGACAATGGTATAAACATTTTTCAAGGTGAGACTTTAAATAAGTAATTCATTTATTCACACGAAACTCCTCTGGACCCTGTGTATAAACTAGTTTTAAGTTGTAATATTGTACAAGAAAAAAGCCTAAGAAATCTGATCATAGCATTTAGCTGGTCATTGACCTTCTTACAAACTTAACAAAAATAACTATCGACCAGTCAGTGTACTCCCTGCAATTTCCAAACTTTTTGAAAAAGTAATGTTTGATCAGCTGTATGTCTCCTTCGCACCTATGCTCTCATTGAACATGTCAGGTTTCCTCAAGGGACACTCATGCGCTACGGCGCTGATCAAGCTGACGGATGATTGGAGAAGCGCCCTTGACGAAAAGAAGGAGATGGGTGTGATTGCCATCGATCTGTCTAAGGCTTTTGACTGTATATGCCACAATCTACTGCTTGCAAAGGTAAAGGCTTACGGTGTTCAGGAACCAGCTCTTCAACTCTTAAGATCATATCTGCATGGCCGCAAGCAAAGGGTGATATGCAATAATAAGTGCTCTAGCTGGTCAATGGTACGATGTGGCGTTCCACAGGGAAGTCTTCTTAGTACTCTACTATTTAACATCTTTATGAACGACATAAACGAAACTGTCACCGTTTCTTCCCTCCGTCTCTATGCAGACGATACAACTCAATATACTGCGGATTATAGCCCAGTTGTTCTTCAACACTTATTAAACCATGACATGGAAAAACTATCTTCCTGGTTTGCCTCTAACTATCTACAGGTTAACGAGGACAAGACCCAGGCGGTGATCCTTGGGAACTCATCTTATCGATACGACCTGGAGTTTGCCGGCACTCCCATTGATATTAACAACCATTTAAGATCCTAGGAATATGTTTAGATAACAAATTATCTTTTAGAGAACATATAAGTATCATGCTGAAGAAAGTATATTCCAAGATAGGCGCCCTTCGCCGCCTTAAGCGTTTAGTACCGGCAAATACTATGTTGCTTCTTTACAAGAGCTTTGTGTTATCACATTATGAATACTGCAACTCTTTACTTTTGGGTATAGGTAAAACACTTAACAAGAAACTGGAAGATGCGAACTATTATGGCCTACGAACTATAATGAACATGGGGAAAAGTACCGATTATGAATCAATTCTTAGGATGGCAGATATGAATACCTTGGAACATAGACGCATAGAACAATCCTTAACGATATTTTCTAAATGTTTCAAGGAGAATGGTCCAGGCTATTTAGCCAATTTATTCAAGCCCCGAGTTACACCATATAATCTTAGAAGCAATGGTCTAAATGTTGTTCAAACTTCATATAATAGTAGATTCCTTCATGGTTCATATGCGTACATGATCTCGCACATCTGGAACCAGTTGCCATCTGCTGTAAAAAACGCACCTAATGCATCATCCTTTCGGAGACTTTTAACTAAGTTAAATTTTATCGGCTGTCAATGCAGCAATTGCCTTTGACCCGATTTATTTTTATAGATGGATGTTATTTTTTTTTTTAAGTTAATTGGTTGCTATTGATATATTAATTAATTGATTTTTCTTTTATATTGTCAAACACTTTTATCATGAGCCCGTGGCTCGGGGGATTGGGAGACCACCCCCTGTGTATCTGACATTAAATAAATTATCTTATCTTATCTTATCTTAACATGCTAGACTTATCAAAATTTAAACGTCCCGTTGAGCTGACTTATTCAGTCGTCATTCCGAGTGAGAGATGGATTCCTCAGCCGTCCCAAGGATCATGTCTGGAGTAAATCGGCAACTGGAACAGTCGTAAGGCTGGATACTGGGTCATTTATTATAACTTGAATTGTTGAACAGTTTAAACATTTTCAACAGACGTACGATACAAAACTAAGGTAGTGGTGGTCAAGTGGTAAGACACCAGCTGCCCAGCTATGACTTGGCTTCAGTGTCCGTACTATTGCTGCCGTCTTCCTGAGTAACTGCAACAAAAATTTATGAGATAAAGGCACTTTAAAATGTGCAATATGTTTAATTCCTTTTTATTTGTTTCTGAAACAAGGAATGGGAAAAAGCACCGGGATATGGGAAAATGAAAATGGAAACAAAACCTAACGTTAACTTAAACTTTCGACGTGAATATATTCACCCACCAGCCCGTGCAACCACTTTCCTTAATTGGCATATTAAAGAGAATCCTCACCTTTTATCTTTTGGGTAGATTTTGACTCTTGGAAAAACAAAACAATCAGCAGACTTATAACAGCGAGCGAGCCTGTCACGATTGAAAAAACGTGACGTACATAATCTCCGCACTCGTCGCAGTCTTCGGAGGTACTACATGAAAAGAAAAGAAAAAAACAAATAAGAGTTTTTATAAAGATATCTGTAACACAAAGAGCAACCTCATGTGACTTTTATTGACAATAAGGGAATCCAAGACAGTCTTGGATTCTGGATTCCACGCTGTGGAACCACATTCCAGGTACTGCTTTTCGGAGTACCTGTCAAATATGGAACTTTCATCTGGATTCTAACTGTCAGCAGGATTCCGGATTCCTTGAGTTGAATCACAGATTCCAAAGCCCAGGATTTTAGATTTTACACGTAAAACTTTTCCAGATTGCGGATTCCACAGACCAAAAATTCCCGGACGTTGGAATCCGTCTTTCCTTATATTGGGCGAAATCATACAGGATGAAATTACCGGTAGTTGCCTCTGTCACCAACAATGCTGAAAGCTTGAATCGGCAGTTGAAAGTGATCGCGCGTCAGTGAGTCGTTTAGCTTATTTTTAAAAGTTGGGCACAAAAAGTCGACAGCCACCGACAACTTAATGCAAAACAAGCTAGGTATATTAGGTCTGAGGGGCATTAAGGATTTGCAAGGAAAGACAGAAAAAGAGTGTGGGGTTTCAGTTTAAAAAGACCTTATTTCAGTACGTTTCAGACGTAACTGACCTTCCAACAGTGAAACGTATACAGTTGTTGCGCGTCCATTAAACACCAATCGATGTTCACATTGTAATAACATTTAACCCTCATTTAACAGTTAACCCCAGACATACCCCCGTCACAAATATTTTTAACAGTTTTCAATTTTTAATTGTACATTTGTTTTTAGTAATCCTTATTTTTCTCGTAATTGTTGTATACACGTCCCCACCAGCATTGGTGATCTTTTTATCGTGTTAAAATAATTAAACGTTTTATCTATCTATCTCATTTTGTATTTGTGAACCTTACTGCGCCGTATTTATTTGTTTCTTTATTTTTCTTAATTCACAAACGTATATTGACCTTCCTGAAGGAAACAATTTCTGGATTGTCATGACGATAGCGCCTCCAAATACGTTTGAAAATAAAGTCATCACAGCAAATACAACACCAGATGTGCCCTACAAAGAAAAATTAAATATATAAATGAATAAAATAAACAAAAACCGAAAAACCATGTTTAAGATCATGTCAGTTGTCGTGAAATGAAATTCGATCTGTTTTGGTGTTTGTCTTTTATATCTAATTTGTACTTGAGATTTCGGCATGAGTTAACCTGAGATCAGGCCCAATTTTAGCGGTTCTCATAAATTCTCTCTAACTGCTACCGCTAAAATTGGGCCTGATACAAACTCTCTCACGTTTGTGCTCGTTACGGCCAGATTGTTGAGAACCGAACCAGATCATGCTTTTAGTTAATTTCAGTTGTGTAAACTTTGTGTAAATGTATTAGTTATTGATACTCAGTCAGGCTTTCAAAACAGCTAAAGGAACTGCCCTTCAAACGACTAATCCACTGTTTGGCTCTGATAACCCGTCTATTCTACTGCAGAGAACGTGAACGAAAGACTTCCTAAATACATTGACACTTCACACAACATACTTGACGTAAAAAGTGCTTTGCTAATTAATTACTCACTTTATTTGGACCAATAAGCTGCGTTGCGAAGGCCAGTGAGTTAACGGCCATGGCGGAGAATCCCCAACCTAACAGTACAACAGCTGGGTAGGTCATCACTCTGTTGGACTCACTTATGAAATAAAACCAAACGCCAGCTCCAATAACGAGAAGGGCAGACAGGATAAACGTCCACTGAACGTAGGTCGGAGAATGATCATAGATTGTAAGGTTAGAAAAGTTAGATCGTTTTAGCATCAGTTTAATGATATTTACTTACTTACTTACTTACTTACTTACTTGCTTGCATACTTTATTGATCATTACCTATTTAAACATACTCTGCAGATGATCTTTGCTCTGTAGGCACGCTGGGTCAGCAAAAATTAAATACTAATAGTCATGCAAAATGTAGTGTTCGAGTTTCGACAAGATTTGTGTCAGTATTGTCTCTCCACGGTCTCTACTGCATCCAAAAAAGTAACAATTATCACTCCAACCCACAATTTGCTGTTATGAAGATTTCTTTATATTTCTGCTGTCTTAAGAATAACAAACTTGCACTGGCAAATTTTATAGCTTGTTTGTCCCCCTGCCCCCGAAAAACCGACGTGACATTGCTTTTATCCAATCAGTCCTTAAGGGCGAACCAAGATGGTGGGTATCGTGAATAAGGTCAATTTGAAGAGCAAGTGGTGGAACCAAGAACACTGTTCGAGGACAGCAGAAGACTTACACGACCCGGATCCTCAGTGGTTTCAGGGGTAAGAAACCTTACTTCCATTGGCTCAAACCGTTTTTGGTATCCTTACAAAGATTGGCGGAACTATTAAAAAAATATTTAAACTATAACTTACTGTAACCAAACGGGGCGGAAAATTTGCTTCATTTTCAGAGGTATAACTATGACATTCTCAAGAGTGCAATTCCTTACCTTGCCTCCGATTTTGACAACAATTCTCTTTGAAACAGCGGATGATAGTGCTCCACTGCTTAACATAATAAGTGGTAGATATGCAATGGACTCCTAATAAAGAAAAGGTGTAGACAAAAATTCAGTTTTTATACTAAAGTTCTAAACTACTGTGCACTTTCCTATTCGCAAGTATTGTAAATAGGTTTAGAGTTTTATGGTTTAATAAAGATAAGTTAAATTTTAAACACTTATTATTGATGAACAGTTACGACTTTTAGATATTTCGAGCAACAACAATTTGTGGTCTGTTCTCTTTGAATTGTATATATACATATGTATATTTAAATACGTATTTATACCTTTGCGAAATGCGCTCTGTAAGTTAGAAACAGTGGCAAGTATGAGTAAGAAATGTTTCGCAAAACAAATGTGCAGGTGAAGATGATGGCAACCTGAAGATAGAAATAACAACGGAAGTTAGTACAGTTCTGAAAATGTGAAATGCTGGGGAGGGCTGTGAGACAAGAGGTAATTACCATTTACATGGGGAAATTAAACTGGAAATCACGGTTGGAATTCAAATGTTTCGCGCCTTTTCGTTTGCGAAGCTTCAGAAATATTGGCTGTGATGTGAGGCAATAATGATAATAATAATAATAATAATAACAATAATAATGATAATAAAATCTTTATTAAAAAACCTCAATTAAAATCCTATTTACAATCAACCTGCTGTTACAAAAAATCTAACCAAGTGTAGGCAGCATTTTGTGTGTAGGAGGTAGCAACAGAGTACTGTTGTTTGAGCGGAGACTGTAGGTAGATTTGGGTTTGATAGTTATAAGTTCAGTGATGTAGGGAGGAGAGAGGCAATGCAATTTTTCAACTCTTTTCAGCATCTGTAGGCTTCGTTTTGATATACTTTGTTATTGGTTCGTTTTCCCACCTCGTCAAATGTTATAATTTTACGTTTATGTACAACAGTTACACCTGGGTGGTTTGTGTAAATGGCGGCACCCATGTTTTTTGAAAATACGGCAAAGTTATCTATAACAGCCGGCTAAAGCAATTTTTCACTTGGGCAGTACGAAATTGTAATCAGAAAATTGGTACGTGTTAGCTGTTTGAGTGCTTTGTTTTACAGTTGTTAAGGAAATAATTAGTGGGACTCTATCGAGCGAAACAGGCAAGGAGGAGGGGGTGGGGTTAAAACGATGTTCTCACAACTTGCAAAGCGGTCCCCTTGCGTGGTGGTCAGCGGATAATTGCAGTAACTTTCCCCATATTTTTTTTAAAGTATCTTAGAAGCGAGAACCGAACTGGTAGAGGAAATAATAAAAAAAAATCATGCCTTTTTGTTTTTCTTGCATATCGTCCTTTGGTACTGAAATTGCCTGGGGAACTAAAACGCAATTAAGTCACCGCAACCGTGTGAAATCTTAACCGACAACAACGCGCGCTGGACCATATTAAGCTTATATATCGATCGATTTATAGGTTACATTCCTTTTGCAGGGCGAGGACATCAGAAGATTATACAAGTTATGATGCTGATAAAAATTACTGGAAAAAGTGTCAAATTTATCGGAAGTAAGACAGTATATTCAAGAGAGCCTTATAAATATGAGCTTACAGCTGTGCGTATCATACATGAATAAACAAGTCATTCACACTTCATTGACATTTCACTTCGTTTATTACGACCAGTCAGAATTGAAAGTTAAAATTCAAAACGATCCTAATGAACAAATCACAACTTTTACTGAAAGCTCCGTACCTTGAAGCAACCTTAACTTTCCTAAGGTTTGCAGCAAAACACTAATCGATAGCTCAACTCCTCAGCGGTTCTAGTGAAGTATGCACAGCATATTCCAAACTCTGCAGAGGAAAATTGTTTAACAGAAAAACGAAAACCACTCGCTATATGTCTGAAAAGCGACATAAAATCAAAAACTGCGAATTACCAAAATATAATAAGCAGTCCAACCTTCGTTCGCCATGTTTTTTTCCTTTTCAAAACTGTTGAACTATGGCTTTTGAGGTAAAGCGTATGACTAGTACACAAATCCGCCGGCAAGACCCTTGCTAAACGCTTTGCAAGTTGTGAGAACATCCGTGTGTTTGGATTTCATTTTAAGAGAATGTATGGGAAAGTAGCCCCCCCCCCCCCCATGGCCACCCCTTTCCAGTATCAGGATTAGTCAAAGGAGAAATACCTTGTAGAGATGCGGGTTTTTAAGCCAGGCTCGTAAGGTCATGGTGGGTGCAGATGTTGATGGACGAGCAGATTCCGGGTCATCAGAGTTAGTGGATGGTTTGCCATTCACCCCTACTCCCTGAGAATCGTTCAAATTCACCTCCACTGGTTCTAGTTTAATCTGATCTGGATAAAACCTTTCCGATTCTGTTTCACAGGACTCAAGAAAACCTTTGTTATCCACACCAGACGACAATGAAGAACCAGACTGGGAATCGTATTTGTGAGATTTTTCTTCGGTTTCGTCTTCGTTGCCGTAACGATCATTTGGTACAGTGCAGTTGACGCCATCCATATCTGTAGCAGTTTTAGAATCACCTCCAATCAGTTCGTAAAAGAGTCTCATCAAAATGTTTATTTTTGTTTCACGCGGGAGCTCTTTTAGTTCCTCTAACACTTCTCTATCACTATGAACTTTCGTTGTGAGCAGATGATCATGATTGCCATGTTTGCTTTCAATGAGCAGATTGCCGTTAGCTTGAGCTTCTTTTCCCCCATCTATATACACCAAGGAGTCAAAAAGGAGCCTCGCGAAAGTAGTTTTTCTCACAGTGGCTTCCTTATCACCAGACGTCTTGTGTTGAAGTCTGTCAATAATAACGTTACCCAGTCTTTCCTTCTGACAGTGCACATCTGAAAAAAAACGGGGAAGAAAGACACTGATCAGCCCTAATTTCTTGCACGTGAATGTGATCCCCTACTTATTTTTCGTGAAGCTTGTGTGTCCCACCTCACCCACTATACTCCGTTTGCTCTCCCCACGCCAATCTCCAACCCCCCCAAACCCCACCCACCCCACTCCAGCACCTTCTTCTCCACCCACACTCATCTTTACACAAACATTGGTTTAAATTTATCTTTGGACGATTGTAATTTCCAAAAGAAGATCTAAAAACTGAAGGAAAACGACATTTTATTCAGGGAACGAATATGTGAAAGTGGCAATTGAGGGAAACCGCTACTCCGAAAAATAAGTGGAAGACTCCCGCTATTATCAAACCACGTCTTGATGAATATCTTGCAATGGTAACTTGTGTGTCTCCATTTTAATTACTTTCAATTAATCTGTATCTTAAAGGCCTAAGCTTACCTGTTTCTTTTACGAGCGTTGCTTGTAGAGCAGTCTTTGGAGGAATATAAGAGGTTTTTCTCTGTTTAAGAAAATTATAAGAGAACTGAAATTAGCCCCAGGGATGGGAGGGGGGGCAGGGTATTAGCATAATACACAATAGTCAGAGATAAAGGGGCAAAAGGCATTATGCAAACGAGCAGTCTTAACCACAGTTTTCCAAGTTAGAAGCATCTTACCAGATTTTCTGTGACGATGCGCCCCGAGTCTTTGCTTTCTTCCCCTGAGAACTCTTTAGTTCCAACATGGAAAATCAGTGAAAATATGAGTCCTATTGCAATCGATATTGCCGCAATTGTCTAAAAAAGAAAGAATTGAAATTAATTTAAAAGGGGTACGGTGGTTCTGAAGAAGCACTTATTAATGACGTTTCGTTAGAAATAAGAGCAAAATTTAATGAATTATTTTACCGTGAAGTCCACCAAGCTTTCTGTTGAGAGGTTGTCTCTGGAATCTTGTCCAAGAACTACCCAAGCCACGAGGTAGGTAGCAATTCCACTTAAGAACGTAAAGGTAACCCTACAAGAACAAAATAAAATATTATAAATGTTAACCGTACTGTCCGATAAGTCATCTCAAGGGCCGTGAAGTCATTTCAGTGTTGGTTATTGATTGCAAGGGAGAAGACACGGATGGATGGATCTCTTACTAAGGTGAACCTTCAAATGCAAATGTATAAAATAAACTGAACAGGTTCGAGTTATCCAGGTGAAAGTTCTGTACAGGTGTTTAGAATATTGAATTATAAGGAAGACGAAGAACAAACCTCAACGCGCTCAATTCTACAGCTTCAATTTGATCTTTAGCAATCACAGGTATAAGTGTCAAGTGTCCAATATCCAGTAAGCAGCCCGAAAGCGCCAATATCACATTAAATATTGAAAGGCTTACAATCTTTTGCCACTCCTTACTATCGTCCGGACAAGCGTAACATGTGCTGAAAAACATCGGCATAAAAACGACGCCCAACACAGTGCCGACTAAATGCCAAGACTTTCTTCTCCCAATTTTCCGCGACAAAAATGGGATGTTGATTCTATCCACCAGGAATGCGCTGAAAGGCGAGGCAAAAGCGAGAGCCAGTTTTTTCTGGAGTGCCAACCAGCCAGCATTTTCAGCGGACAGACCGAGAACTTGCATAAAGAATACCAGCCTGAACGAAAATTGGAGCTGACGCATGATGTCATTGATCACATGACCTACTCCACAGGCAAAGCGTTGGATAAATGGCGTTCGAGTTTCTGCATCTGTCCCTTCGGTGCACTCATGGCACAACTTCCGTAAAATCTTCATATTAAAATCCTGTGAAGAAAGATCATAGGAGTGGTTTATGTAAAAGTTGGTATTGGCTGATTTAAGCTCTTCTCCCGCTGAATTTCTGCTCAGACTGCCCAACTCTTTTCCTACTATGTCAAACTAGGCAGCTGAACAGGCAGGGTTAGTTCTATCGTCCGACACTCTTTGGAAACAATTGCTGATTTTTACTGTCAAGCGATCACAAATTAAAATCAAAGCTTTTCATAGATAAGGTCGAAAATCTGGGAAATGAAAGAAGGTATCACAGGACGAAAAATCAAGTATCCGTAAACTTAAACATGGTGGAAACACGTGACTCCGTTGCGGAAACACAGCGGCAAACGCGTGTTTCCGTTAGCGGATACATTACGGTTTCTCATGTTTCCGTCGCTGCGTTTTCAACGGAACCGGAACACTTTTTTACATGTTTCCGACAGATTTCCGTTTCAGGAATCACGTATTTCCGCAATCGTTAACGTGTGCCTATGTTGCGGAAACGCGATATTCCGTACCGGAAACCTGTTATTTCGTTCGTTCTACTGGCGGAAACGTGAAGATACGGTCCGGCAACCTGACTTGTTTTTCTGTGTTTCCGTCTGTTTCCGTTACTACGTAAATACGTCCAAAAGTTTCATATTTGCCGAAACCAGGTTTTCCAATGGCAATTTTTCTTTATTCTTACATGAAATTAACCTATGAGTATTTTTCCTGGTTAACTTACATGCAATGAAGACTTGTTCATTATATAAGTCAGACAAATATATACCACCATAAACCTGAAATCCATCTGTGTTGCATTTAAAATTTTATTCATTTCCTGCACATAGACTCGTATCAAACAATGCTTATTTATGGTCCTATCTCATACGCAGAAGTTGCAAAGTGAACACAGTTGTAGCGTGCTTAGAGGGTATAAAATAAGTGCAAAGATTCAAATGCACAAATTAGATCAACAAAAATGAATGGCTAAACTTTGACATAATACAAGTACTGTTTTTTGAGATAAATTAATTGTATACTTCAAAATTGAAAACCTAGCCTTTTTCAACATACTAACAAATTTAACAGACACTAATGTAGTCTTGAATTCAAGTGCAGCTTATGGCTAGTGATAGTTTTACAGCCTATAATATTTCAGCAAAGTGGAATATGATTTGTCTGGTGAATGTCCTGAGTAGGACTGTTGTTGACAGCGACTGACGTTTTATCAACAACGTGATCATCAATTTCATGGTCATTGTCAAATCATCAGTTCCTGTTTGATCATTTTCCACTTTCTTATTTCAAATGAATCCTAGCCTTAAACCATTCAGGATAACAATAAAATTATTATATTGTGTCAGGAAATATTCTTAATCTTCTGACATGGTGTTACCAGCCTGAAGGAAAATTGGAGCTGACGCATGATATCATTGATCACATGACCTACTCCACAGGCAAAGCGTTGGATAAATGGCGTTCGAGTTTCTGCATCTGTCCCTTCGGTGCACTCATGGCACAACTTCCGTAAAATCTTCATATTAAAATCCTGTGAAGAAAGATCATAGGAGTGGTTTATGTAAAAGTTGGTATTGACTGATTTAAGCTCTTCTCACGCTGAATTTCTGCTCAGACTGCCCAACTCTTTTCCTGCTATGTCAAACTAGGCAGCTGAACAGGCAGGGTTAGTTCTATTGTCCGACACTCTTTGGAAACAATTGCTGATTTTTACTGTCAAGCGATCACAAATTAAAATCAAAGCTTTTCATAGATAAGGTCGAAAATCTGGGAAATGAAAGAAGGTATGTATGCAGAAAGACCCCTCGCAAAGATTCATATCGGTGCAATTTTTCATTTGCGATATATTTTTTATAAGAATTTATATTTTATGAGAACTGAAAATCGAGGCTGAAATTTTAAACCCCTTAAAAATCTATAAATACAATACTCCTTTCTCTTAACGGCAAAACTAAGCAACAAAACGAAAAAACCTGCACTAACTATAATTGATTATATCAAAGCAAGAATACACGGTGTAATTCTTTCTAATCATTCTTTAACCTACCACTTGGGAAGCAACCTCGTTCCCAGGTTCTCTCAGTCCTACCCGTAGGGATGGGTAGGAGAGAACCCTGGAACGAGGTTGCTTTAGAAGTTTTTGATGTCTAGCAGCTATAACCTACAAGTACGTCTACATATTGTTCAGTTGAACTGGCGGTTTAGCTGTTTTGGAGTGAGCTGTGCACTTTATGTCCTAAAATATTACTTGAAGAATCTCAACTGCCTTTTCAGGAATACCTAGCTGAAAACGATATACTTGATTTCAGCTGATGCAGAACTGCTGTCAGAATTCTCAATAGAATCGAAGGACTAGAGCGAGAGTACCAGAAGTACAATGTCTTATCAACTGAAGATTTGACTAGGCATTTTTTTTACAGTAACTATATAGTTTCGTACGACAAGATGGTGTAACACTCTTTATACAATAATGTGAATAATACGCGCCCCGTGATTTTTGTTCGTTGCCCATGATCTATCAGAGGAAAGATACATGGATGACGTCACGGAAAACTTGTTTTGATTGTTTTGTTCAACATGGCGCGCGGTTTTGAAAATGTTTGTGAGGTTATTTCGGATTAAAGCAAGTGATAGCCTAAAAAACTTAGCAGGAGCTATTTACGAAGAAGAAAAATGGAGAAACAGAGACAGAAAGAGCCCTTTACAACTTGAGAATGCCTAACTTCAAGAAATCTTCACAACAGTTGCCATTGTGTGTCACCACTACGAGACTCGCTGTTTTGCAAAAATGTTTTAGTCATTATTCTGCTTTGAGCAAGAAAAGACGTTGAATTTTTTTCCGAAGAAACTGTAAACAAGTAAGGTAAAGACAAAGAGAAGAAGCAGGGACGAAAATAAGCATTTGGGAGATTAATACTGCCTAAACTGGCACAAATTCTCAAACAGTCAAGCGGTACGTGGCAGGTATGTGTATCGGTCTTTTTTCTTTTTTGATCATTGTATAAAACAAATAGATTCCACTTTGCCGTGGGTCCGTTCAGACCCACGGTAAAAACATCAGTGACGCACTTGCCTGAGGTTCGTGTGCCACTTCTTTGTTTTTACCACATCTTGACGTCATCTGTGATCTATTACTGAACAGGCACACGGCAACATGGAATCTATTTGTTAATCGGATAAAGTAGCCTAATAGTAGATTACAACGGTACGCTGATTATAACTGAAATTTAAATGCGGTTACTACGAATACAACGCTGTTTCTATGGGTTCTATTATGTAACAGAAATTGTTAGAGTGTCTAAACGAAGATACAACTGATTAAACTCCTTGCGCTTGTTAAGAGTGGCTAGATACATATAAATAAAATGAAAGTGTACGTGATCTGTGCACCTTCATTTACAAGTGTTTGAAAGGGTTTCTGTACCCACGGATCGAACCTTTTTTGCACTGGCAAGTCAAACACAAAACGAGGTGCACTGTCCAACTACCGGCTGTGCGAACGGAATTTTTTCAAGTATCTGCCTTTTCATATTTGGTTATATTCTCGTGTTTTTAACTTTAGTTTATCCTTACCCCGTTGATATCAGCTGTTCTTAAGGAGCAAGATCTAGGCTACATGACTTTGTTATTCATGTAAGATGATCACATTTCAGAGCGTTTCATGGTGTTTTTTTCTTCTTCTCCTTTTTTTTTTTCTAAATAAAAGCGGGCAGTGAGCTTTTGCTCATGAGAAATAAGAAAATATTCTCTGAAGACAAAAGCCCACTCTCGTCAAGAAATGAGGGCGAATAAAGTTTAGACTGGTTTGGCAATTGCGTCGGTTTGATCTGCTGTAGTGTCAAGTTTCCTCGTTTAGCGTGGCTCTTAAGACGCGTGGAGCTCACATTTTTTTCGGTGACTTATTGCAATAAAGATATTGCGGCTGCTTTCAGTTGCTTTCCCTCCAAAAGCCTGATCCTCATTTGCAACCAAAGCAAAAGCATATGCATATACATGTTCCTCATTATGCATCAATCAGCGGTTTCCCGCTGAGGGCCACCCCGGGACACTCACGGGAACTCAGGGGGCATTTGTCGAGATTGTCAGATATTTGTTGCCCGAGGGTGTACCCCAGGAGCTAAACCCAGGGGATTTGCTGGTCAGCGGTATGCCCGATCGACGATTTCTGGATGTTGCTCGAGGTGTTCACTCTACGCCCTTATCGCAGGAGTTTAAGGGCTTAAGGAATTAACCAAGTTTCGTCGACATGCCTGTTTACAACGCTTGGAGCTCCGATAGAAAGGCGAAAGGCAAGACTATTTGGTCAAGTGGAGCCAACTGCACTGAAATAATACAAACTTTAAATGAGAGTCTAAGCAAAGCAAATTGCTGGTTTTTGTGCGTAAAATTCGTACACTTGTGCGTTAAAGGGAACACTGGCTCGTATCGTTGCACCCAGGGGGCAGGGGATTTGTCATAATTCCTCTGCCCTATACCCAGGGGGATTTTAAGAGGGTTGAATGCGCATTTGGACAAATTCACCAGGGGGAAGCAGCTGATTGATGCTTTATCAAACTCTGGCATCAACACAACAATATCAAAACCTGAGCGTTCTTCTTATGTTTGTGCTTATGCTTATGTCACGGCCTTCCTCGCCTCGCCCCATGTAAGGAATCCAAAACAGTCTGGATTCTGGATTCCACGCCATGCATTCCGGATTCTTTGTCAATGGAACTTGCATTCAGGATTCCAATGGCAGGTAGGATTCCGGATTCATTGAGTTGTTTTCTGGATTCTAAAGCCCCGGATTCTGGATTCCTCAAGCAAAATTTCCCGGATTCCACATTTCTCAAGCAAGAATTTCTCGGATTACGGAATCTGGATTCCCTTAAATGAGGCGCCTCACTTGTGCATTAAAGCTTCTTATTATTCATTCAAAATATTTCCCCGGTTCTGATTGGCTAAAAGCACACTTTTAATTCACCATAACCAGTTACTGATGACCAAATTTGGAAGAATTT